ATCACACCAATTTTTCCAGCATTTTCTTTATAATTATACCCTCCAACTTGGAAAGGAGGGTATATTAACTTTGTCATTCCGTTTGTAACATCCCTAAATATTCGTCGTAGACCCCATAAAGAATATATATTCATAATCAGTATAAAATTCTAAGTCGATGTAACGATGTCCGTCTGTCTGCCTGTCCGTCTGTTGAAATCACGATACAGCCTACATTATTTGACGTAGAGCGTCAAAATTTAGCAGAACAATTTGTATTGTGTCATTGTGGCGAAACATTGTATGTATAGGTCCACGTTTTGGTATAGCTCCCATATAACGGTACCTCCAGATATTCGGTATTTTGATGATTTTTGGCACATTTCTTCGCAGATGTGTCTAAAAATTGGTATTTGTTGGTCATAATGGGTTCTAGCTCCATTGGCGAAACATTGTATGTATAGGTTCACGTGTTTGTATAGCCCCATATAGCGGTACTTTCCGATATTCGAAATTTTGATAAATTTTGCCAAATTTTCCCACGAATATGTCTAAAAAATTTCCTTTCCTTTACCCTAAGGTGGAGGGTATTAAAAGTTCGGCCCGACCGAACTTAATGTTTATTTAATTGTTTTTATTAAAAAAACATTTTAGGAAAATTGGAGGCATTGTCCGTACATTGTAATTTCATAAAATGACCGAAGGTAGTATGCCCATGCCAATGTTATTGATAACATGCGATTTGTGAACACTCTTTGTTTGCTCAGAACAGACGCTCGCCATTGACAGATAACATTAAACGTTTTATAGCCACGCTTAATTCTCAAAGAATTCATGGGGTGTACATATTTGGGGAGGTCATGGTCAAAAATGAAGGATGTGGAACATTTGCAATCAACAAAACGTCTCTGTTGTTTGTTTTCCCAAAATATACTCCTTAATATCATCGGCCTGATTCACTTTGGATTGAATGTTTTTTTTTTTTTTTCATTCGACTAAAAATCTTTGAATGCTTATATTCCGTCCTGATTATTTATAATCGCTTCTATTTACTTGTAAAAGATTTTTTTCCACGAGTAGATGGCTACAGTTTTGCACTTGCCCTTAGGTATTCTCAAATTGGCATCTAATTATTTTGTCATGACAAAGTTTCATTTGTCATAAATCAAAAATCTTTCAATATTCCAACCTGTTAATGGCGAACTGGGCAATCTAGAAACGATAAATAAACTGAAAATTATAAATGTATTGGTAGTTATAAATTGAATTGGTGAGATTTTTTTTTAATTTGGGTATGCCTTCGAAACCTTTAAATCGACAGATAGTTTTAGAGAGAGAGATAGTTTTATCGACCTTTACCGGAAGCAAAACAAAAGCACACTTCTAGTTAAGAGAAATATTTAGAAATTTGAAGTGAGTTTGTTGATGCCTATTTCGCTTTCTTTGAGCGTTTGTTTTTCAATATATTGAACACTATATTTGGGAGCTACGAGAAGAAATGGTCCAATCTCTACCATCTTTATAACAGATCTTGTGTTGATGGAAATATTGAGATGTGCGAAGTCTGACTGGAATCAGATGTTAATTTCGCGTTTTATGAGCTTCATGGGTATTCAAAATGTTGACCTTTTTTGGGGGAGGAACCAAAAGGAGTAGATTGACTTATTCTATCTTCACAGATGACCATGTTTTAGTAGAAATAATGGAACGATTGAAATATAAAGAGAACCGGATGCTTATTTCGGATTTTATAATCGTTTTGGTTATTCAAAAAGTTGACCCTTTGTCTGGGAGGTATCTTAAGAAATGACCCGATCTCTACCATCTTTATGTTGATAGAAATATTGAGTTGTGCCTAGTTTGAATGGAATCGGATGTTAATTTCGCGTTTTATGAGCCTTAAAAATATGCAAAATTTTAACCCTTTGTGGGGGAGTACTAGATGGAGTGGACCGATATTGTCCATTTTCGCACTTGATCTAGCACTAACGCAAAAATTAGGATTTGAAAAGTTGGAGTAAAATCGGATTATCCTTTCTCTTTCGGTTGAATAAATTATTTTCTTTGAAAATGTTGACATTTTGTGGGGAAGCTACCAGAAGGAGTGGACCGATCTTGTCCATGTCCGAACTCGATTTAAATTTGATAATAATATAACGATATATTAATTTTGGATTTGGTCCAAAGAGATCTAGGGTCTTACAACGTTATTTCGAAGATGCACGTTTTGGCCGTATCAAATGATATATACCCTCTGTAGCCACATATCTGTTTAATGACATTTGGAGTCGATCTAGTCGTTAATCTGTGTGGCTGGCAGCATCCAAATTGATCTAAACATTGTAACATTATTATGAAATTTAGATCGAGTTTCGAGATGGGCAATTTCGGTCAACTTCTCCTGGTACTTTCCCCATAAAGATAAAAAAAATAACAACAACAATTTATCTCCTTCAAAGAGAAATGTTCATCCGATTTTGTTTAAACTCAATAAATCCTAATATTGTCAGTGATATATCAGTGGCGGAAAAGGTCAATATCGGTCCACTCCAACAAGCACTTCCCCCTCACAATTTTTATACCCTCAGCCATATGGCTAGAGAGGGTATATATCATTTGATACGGCCAAAACATGCCCAGTCGAAATAACGGTTTTAGACCCTAGGTGTCTTTGGACCCACTCCAACAAGCACTTCACCTCACAAGTTATACACCCTTAGCCATATTTTGGATTCGATTTAGCGATGCCCGTCCGACTATCGGTCTGGCTGGTGCGCACGATAACTCTCGAAGGGAGTATCCGATTTCGTGAGTTCGGAGATGGGCAACATTGGTCCACTCTTCCCTGTACCTCTCCCACAAAGGGTTTAAATTTGAAAAATCTAAAACACTCATAAAATTCAATATATTCTGTCGATTCTCATCGACACACACCAATATTTTAGCCATTACAAGACAGGGTGTGAAAATGGTATATACCGGCTCACATCTGCTGGTACCTTCTCCACGAAGATAAACAATTTGAATCGGCGCATTTTTTTATACCTCGCCCACTACGGGTCAACATTTTGAATAATCATAACTATTATAAAATGTGAAATAAGAGTCCTATTGTCTTCAAATTTTGCACATCCCATTATTTCTACTAACACAGGAACAGGTATGAGGAACGGATAGAACGAACTTTTCCTTCTGATATGGATATATAAATATCGGTCCTCTCTTTCTGGTACCTTCCCCACAAAGACTCAATTTTTTTAATTATTATAACTCTCATAACATGCGAAATATGTCAACGATTTTCTTCAAGGCTTGTAAATTACAATATTTTTACCAACAAGACTTCCCTGCCCCTGGTACCTTGTCCACTTTTTAACATTATAACCCGAAATAAATCAGCTACTTTCTTAAAAAAAATCGTGTATATGAGGTATGTTGGCCAACTCTTTCTGGTAAATTCCCAAAAAAAGTTGAGCATTTTCGGAAAAGTATATGCACATTATCCGAACCTGTCACCTCCAATGATTTTATCAGACCAATGTCATAATCGAAATGGACAATATTTTTCTACTCCATTGGTACCTCTCCTATAGAGGGTCAGAATGTTGAATAATAATAAAACATGTCAAAATATATTTTAACAAAGGGATAATGGCTGAGGGTTTTAATCTGACGGCAGAACCGACTGATGATCTTAAATTGGTAATAATTATAACTGCTGTAGAATGTGAAATAAGACCCCAGACTGTCTTCAAATTTTATACATCCCAAATTTTGTATCAACACAAGATTTTGTGTGAAAATGGGATATTGCGGACCACTACATTTGGTGCCTTGGAAAATAAATAACTTTTTAACTTTTAAATTTCCATTCACTTTATTTATTAAAAAAATTCCAATAAATTTCCAAAAAAAAGCATGGGTTTTGAAGATAATATTGGAAGATTCTTTTTATTTATTTTTTTTTTGTATTTGTTGGTTCGTGTTATGATCTAATTTATGTAGCGTTCTTTGGCATTTGATATGCTTTGGGAAATCACAACTCCGTTTCCATCCGAATCTGAATCATTGATGACATTTTTTTTTGTAATTCACCACAAAAACAACAACAGATAACAAAGAATCTCACCACAAAACAAAACAAAAAAATTAAAACCGACGACTTGACACACTGACTTAGAAAAGCGGAACGACTGCCGCCGAGGCAAACCAAAACATAGCCGAGTGGTGAATGTTTTCGTTTACCCCGAGTTGCTTATCCCCCTGCCGACCCACCATTCCTACCATTTGTGACATAAATGGTGAGTTACATCACAAGATGGGCCAACCAAACCAACAAATTTGGCATTTCATAAAAAAAAAAATATTTGTTCAGCGAAAAAACCCAAAACATGGATGTTTGGATAGATGGCTGTGCAACGACGAAGATTAGACCGACCGCAGCCATCCTCGTCGAATCCTTTTGTTTCTGGCCTTTTGTTGCTAATTTCCCAGCACAATTGCCTTTTTTTTATTGGGGAAATGTGCAATTGTCGTTGCTTTTGTTGCATTTATTGTCATTGTTGCCATTTATAAATTGTAGGTGAATTATTCTATTCTTTTTGTTTGTGCGAATTTATTTTCACAACGGAAACGCCGAGGAAAATGTGGAAAGCTGCCTAGACACTTGTCCCTTAAGAGCTTGGCGTAGAAAAACGCAAAAAAAAAACAAATGAAAGAAAACTCAAACGTTGGGAATTGGTTGTTGGCAGTGAGTGGGTGTTTGACGGGATGGATGGATGGGTGCGTAAGTGAGTGAGTGAGTGGAGGTTGGCACTCGGAATGTCAAAGCACCAAGGTAGCGAAACGGGGAAATGACATGGAAATGAGAAAAACCCCATCATCGCCTCCAAGATGCACAAAAGGAAATTACAAAACAATTGAATTGTGTGTTCGTCAGAAGGTTGGATGGTAGGTTGTTGGGTTGGGGCCTCACTGCCAGTAATTAATTTTCCCCCAGAGAATTGCAAACAATAATTTACCATTTTTGTATCCTTTTTTTGTCGGAAAATCCAAGGGAAATGAAATTAGTTGACGTTGGTGGAGCTGCCGTTTCTTTTATCCTTGTCTGTCGTTGACGTTCGCCAAACACTAGGCACCGATTTTCACACGTAATTCCCGAGACTAACTGGCGGACTGAGAGTTTTTCTTCTTGTTTTGTTTTGAAAATGTGGATACAGACGAAAAAATTGTAACTTTTCTTCGTTTTTTTCTTTGCTTTGCTTAACTATCGCAGATTTGGGTTAGTTTGTTACGATGACGTTCTTTCTTTTTTTTTCTGTGGACACTTGGTTTTCATTTACTTTGGGCTGCTGCTCTTTGCTCTTCTGGCTGGCAAGGAAATTTTCACATTTTTTTCTTTCTTTGGTGTTGCTGCTGCTGCTTCTTCTTCTACGTCGGTTATTACAACATTTTCACATTTCTTTTCGTTTCACTTTTTTGTGGATGGCATTTCACTTTGATTTTTCTTTCTTTCTTTTTTATTTTTTTGTATTTCAAAATTTTCTCATGGGTATTTTTTGCACTTTCGATATTCTTTGGTAATTTTTTATTGGCAAGTTTGTTTTGTGGGGGCTCGAGAGCTCTTGAGGAATAATTTGAAGATTTCCTCGATTTGTTTGGTTCGGTTCGGGTCGGTTGCTTAGTTGGTTGCCGTTTAATTGCACATCCTTTGAATCCGTGCGATTCACTCGCGATTCTGGTTCGAAGTGCGGCGTTCGCGGACGTGTGTGTGTTGGTGTCGGAAGACTTTTGCTCTTAACGCATATTTTCGTCCATTAGTCGTTTTTCGTCGTCATCAACATCGTTAGTCACAGTCAAAGTCAGCGTCGCTGTCGGCGTCAATGTCGTCGCCTGTCGTCTTCAAGTCTATGAAGTCTGCTTTTTGTCGTCTATTTTATGTGATTTTTCCATTAAAGGATACTTTTCTTTACGCTCTTCGCCCCCTGCCCCTGCTTGTTATATTCCTCCTTCCCCTGTTCCTTGTTTGGATGTTGGTTACTGTAACTTTTTCTCTTCGAGTTGTTCGTTTTTTTTTCGAAAAGATTTGTAGGGTGAGTTAAGTTCACATGTATCGTTGGCTGCTGCTGCTGCCGCTGTGCATTTGTGTGGCTGCGTGTCCGTCGGAGTGTTGGTGTAAGTGCGCGCGTGTGTGTGTGTTTGTGTAGTTACAATCCTTAGTGCCACAATTTGTTACGTTTCGATGAATGCGTCACAACAAACACTTGCGAACTCTCTGAGCACAAACTGCGAACTGTTGGTTGAAGTTAACATTTTGGCCAACGAAAGCCAAACAAATGTGAGAAGGAATGAAAAGCTTAAACAGCTATAGCACACACACACACACGCACTCCCTATGCATACCATCGGCATTTAACATTGTGTTTCATGGACAGGCAACAACTGTTGGATAGTAACCGTTAGGTGTGATGTGAGTGTTGTGTGTCATACCACTGTTGTGAGAATTCAAGTGGTATGGCAACGTCATTCTTTTTATTTTCAAAAAAATTTAATGAAAAGCTTTTAAGAAAACGAAGTTGTATACATGGCGGTCAATTGTTTCAGATTCAGTTGGGAGGTATATAACTTAATGGGGATGGATTTTGGTTTTACGAAAATATGAAATAAATATATTTTCTTTATAATTTTGTTACTGTTTATACCTCTGCAACACAAGGTGGTCAGGGTATTATGTCGTTGTGCATTTGTTTGTAACAAGCAAAAGGAAACGAGATAGACCCATAGTTCCTTTTGATGATCCGCATAGAATCACATTCTGAGTCGATTTATGCATGTCCGGTCGTCTTTCCGTCTGTTAAAGGTCGAAATTATTGACTGATCCAGATGAAATTTGCAAAGGTCATTTGTTCGACCTCAAGGACGAACCCTATTAAAATTAGAGATAGTCGATCAAAATTTAGATATAACTCCCATATATATCTTCGTCCGATTTGCCTTTTATTGTGCACAAAACGTGTAATATCGGTCAAAATAGTATGATATTTGGAATATACGACCAAATTAAGCCTGGAAATAAGTACGCCAAATTTGATTGAAATCGGTTCAGATATAGCTATAGCTCCGATATATATTGTTCAATCGATTTGATATTTTTCTTCTCCGCAGCCGTAATATGCACTCCGTCGCAACGATAGTTTAGAAATTATATCAAATACAGCTCAGAAATACAATTCCCCAAATTTTATCCCGATCGGTTCAGATTCAGATATAGCTCCCATATATATATCTTCGTCCGAATTGCCTTTTATTGTGCACCAAACGTGTAATATTAGCCCAAATAGGATGGAACTTGGCACTTACGACCAAACTGAGCTTAGAAACAAGTAGGTCAAAATCGGTTCAGATATAGCTATAGCTCCCATATATATTGTTCATGCGATTTGCTATTTTTTATTTGCTTTATGAAGCTCTACTAAATAGGCATCAAGTCGGCCCCGCCGACTTTACTGGTTTTATTTTGTAAAAATTCACATTTCACATTTGCATAGAACCAAAATTAAACCCTTGGTCTCGGGACCTTTGCTTTTCTTCTTTTTTCTGCTTTAGAAATATTTGCTGTTCGAAAAAAATAACATATATAAAATCCGCAAAACCGGAAGTACAATAAATGATACTGGTTCCGTTTCTTATGTTTTTCTGTTCGTAGCTGAGTTGAAGCTTTGTAAATGTAAAAGATTCCAATTTGATAAATGATTCTAATTTTCACCTCCAATTGGAAAAAGTTGTTTTTGAATAGGAATTGCCAACCACCTCACGGTTTTGGTTTGTGGCCATGCTAAAGTGTTGTTACAATTCACCACTTTTGAAGTTAGAACTACTGTCTTTGCTAAGTACTAAATCGATTTAGGTTCTAGTTTTCACGCCAGGATTAAAAAGCATTATTATTTTGTACACGAAACGACATTAGGTGTGTCTGCTAACCTTAACATTTGTACAAAAACATAAAAGATACAAAGATGAGACATTAAATTGTAACTAATTGACAATAGATGCCACTGTTGTATGGCATTATAATGTTATATTTTTTTAATGAATTTTCGTTTTTACACACCAATAATACAGCGAAATTTCTCTGTAGCAAAAATTTCATTAGTCGGAGGCTTTCTATAGAAAAACTGATTTTAGCAGAGTATTTCAATAAGAAAACTCAATCTAGAAATGGTTTTCTATAAAAAAAAAACTATTAAAGCCTGCCCGAACTTAACGGTTATTTACTTATTAACTTCTCTTTAAGCCGCTTTGTGTATACAGGAACGACCAGCATCGCCGTTGAAAATTTTCCGCTTTGATATCTGTATTTGACCCATGCTATTAGAGCTCTTTTATTTTCAAAAAGAATGGTGACATTATATTAAGGAAAAAACATAAAATGACACTCAACGTTGGGCGCCATATTTTTCCGGATTTATTATTATTTATAATTTTAGGTCTTTCGTTGCTCGAAAATTTGTTGCAATTCGTTAGTCAAAGTCGTCAAAAGAGAGTATTCGAGAGAGAAATTTTGACAGTTCTTCTACTGAGTTTTTATTTATATTGCAATCACTGGACAACAATTCTTCTCCTTTCGTTTTGAGTATCTGGTGATTTGTTTTTGTGCAAATAATTATACCCTCAGCCATATGGCTAAAGATGGTATATATCATTTGATACGGCCAAAACGTACTATATCGTTTTTGACCCTGACTCTCTTCTGACAAAATCCGTTTCAGGACATTTGGATTTGGAGCGATGTCCGTCCGTCCATCCGTCTGTCTGTCTGCCTGATTTGATCCAAACTTGGTATATCGCAATATTATTGTCAAACTTAGATCGAGTTCGGAGATGGGTAATATCGGTCCACTCTTTGTGGTACCTCCCACACAAAAAGTCAACTTTTTCAAAGAAAATCATTTACTGCACAGGAAGAGAATGGATAATCCGATTTTGTTCCAACTCCGCAAATCCCTATATTTGCATCAGTGCTACGTCAGGTGCGAAAATGGGCAATCTTATAAAATGCGATATGCGATTTTCCATGTACCCTTTCGGTCTAAGCCTAATACAAATATTGCTATTATTCAAAATTTGTCGAAATTTTTTGGAGGTTTCAGAAAGAATGGAGCAATTTAGATCATTTTCACACTTGCGGTAATATAGGAAAACATTTTGGAGTGTACAAAGTGGGAAGAAATTCGGACTCTGATTTCACATTTTAGGAATAGAAAAATATTGTCCATTTTCGCATTTGACCTAAGTCTAAATATCACCTTTGGACCAAATAGGATGCTCCTTTCGAGAGTTATCATGCGTAACAGTCCGCCAGACAAATACACCTATCGCCTCAATAATTAATAAGAAATTATCCTGCATTTCCATAATTTCTTATTTTGAAATTAAATTGTTTTTATTTTTAAGTTCATTTTTAATTCCTACAACACTATGTGTTTGGGGGTAATATTGGTCTCCGACATAGGTTTTCTAAATATGGATTTTCCTATCTCGCCGAGCTGAGTCGATCTAGCTATGTATGTTCGTTTGTCCGTCTGTTCATGTTAGTTTGTAATCACTCTAAAGGTCGCAATTATGGTTCGATCCTCACGAAATTTAGCATGGAGGTGGGGCTAGGATCAGATTAGAAGCCTACCATTTTGTTTGGTCATCGTTATATGGGGAGTATACCAAAACGTAGACCGATATATCTCATTTTCAATACCAACCATCCTAGACACAATACAAATTATTCTGCTAAATTTTGACGCTCTACGTCAAATAATGTGGCCTGTATCGTGATTTCAACAGACGGACAGACACCGTTAAATCGACTTAGAATTTTATGCTGATTATGAATATATATTCTTTATGGGGTCTACGACGAATATTTAAGGATGTTACCAATGGAATGACAAAGTTAATATACCCTCCTTTCCAAGGAGGAGGGTATAAAAATGAATTAGGAAAGGGAATATTAAAATACGATCCCTTAGAAAAATTTTTTTTCGTGCAAAAATCCGATCAGGAATCCCAACAAAAAGAAATCAAAATTTAATTAAAAATTATAACAACATGTTTTTATTTTTTAATTTTTAAAAATGTACTTACTTCCCTTAAAATAAACGTGAACACATCCAAGGAGGCAGAACTGGAATTTGGATTAATAAATTAAAAATGCTGAAGAAATATTTATACAATTTTTAATTTTAATCCCTACATCCTATCCAAATTTGTGAGAGAAATTATGGCTGTTGTGTGCTGAGAGTTTTCTGAAGAAAAAATGTGTTATTGAATATTGTACCTTTGATTTATAGTGGTTTTGATAACGCGTTTCGTGATAGGCCGGTTATGGGCACTCGGCTGTATTTTACGAATTTTTTTCATTTTTACTTGATTCTCTATTTTCGTGCAAAGACGAGGCATCTTATTCTCCCCAAAGTACTTACTGAGTAAATCTCACTGGATGAGTAAAATAGCAAGTTTCATTTCGCTCTTCCACAAGTTTGACCACAAAACCGTAAAGAATCCAAGCTGTTATAAATCTTGATTTATCTCAAGATCATATAAATTGAATTCCTCAATTCATTCATAAATCACGAAAGAGAACATCCAGACAATTCAAAACCTTTTTTTGATATCTAATTACAACTTAATTATATCATCCTGACGATGCGCTGCTAATATAATCCGTTCCACTTCACCTAATCACACTAAGGCGAAGTGCAGAGTCGAGATTGTTAGTTTCTGAAGGAATTTATAGCCCCCTTTACTGGGGTTTGCACTCTCTCTCCTTCCCTGTCATAGGATTTGTATCAATTAGAAAAAGCCATAATCGAATCAATTCGGAATGCTTAATTCATTGGCTGCTAAAGAGGCGTCAGTTCGTCTGCCGACTTTCAAACATTGATATTCAGCATTACATGGCAAATGTGCCCAGTTCAGTATCGGTGGTGGCAACCAGCCGCAGATCGGATCACCATCATCGTCACCGTCATCATCATTCGAATGCAACCATAAATAATGGCCATATTTGTGGCAATGAAATTGAAAACAGCACGACATCAATGATGCCAGTCCATGTTCGGGGATATTCGTTATTTGGAATTTGTATCATTTGTGTCCTGTCGACCAACCAAACAAGGCACCCAGCTATTGTTCGTCTATCCTTTACAGGGCACAACAAACACTTGGCGAGGGACAAAAGACCATTGTTGGCAGAGATAAATGTGAGGAGGGGAGGAGGGAAAGGTGTCAA